GAGTGTTCAAAGCAGGCCTGTGCTCTGAACATATTAGCATGGAATAACGCGATAGGACTCTGGTCCTATTTCGTTGGTCTTCGGGATTGGAGTAATGATTAATAGAGACAGTGGGGGGCATTCGTATTCCATTGTCAGAGTCGAAATTCTTGGATTTATGGATGACGAACTTYTGCGAAAGCATTTGCCAAGGACGTTCTCATGAATCAAGAACGAAAGTTGGGGGATCGAAGACGATCAGATACCGTCCTAGTCTCAACCATAAACGATGCCGACTAGGGATTGGCAGATGTCTATTGGATGACTCCTCCAGCACCTTGTGAGAAATGAAAGTTTACGGGTTCCGGGGGGAGTATGGTCGCAAGGCTGAAACTTAAAGGAATTGACGGAAGGGCACCACCAGGCGTGGAGCCTGCGGCTTAATTTGACTCAACACAGGAAACTCACCAGGTCCAGACATAGCAAGGATTGCCAGATTGAGAGCTCTTTCTTGATTCTATGGGTGGTGGTGCATGGCCGTTCTTAGTTGGTGGAGTGATTTGTCTGGTTAATTCCGTTAACGAACGAGACCTCAGCCTGCTAAATAGCTACGCGGGGACCTTTCCTCGTGGCCAGCTTCTTAGAGGGACTGTTGGACGACTAGCCAACGGAAGTTTGAGGCAATAACAGGTCTGTCATGCCCTTAGATGTTATGGGCCGCACGCGCGCTACACTGATGAATCCAACGAGTCGCTTGCCTCGGTCGAAAGGCCCGGGTAACCTTCTTAATGTTGATCGTGACGGGGACAGATTGTTGTAATTATCGATCTTGAACGAGGAATGCCTAGTAAGCGCGAGTCATCAGCTCGCGCTGATTACGTCCCTGCCCTTTGTACACACCGTCCGTCGCTCCTACCGATTGAATGGTCCGGTGAAGTGTCTGGATTGTGGTGATCTCGGCGGTTTGCCGCTGGGGGTGCTGTGAGAAGTTCATTGAACCTTATYATTTAGAGGAAGGAGAAGTCGTAACAAGGTTTCCGTAGGTGAACCTGCGGAAGGATGATTGACACGTGAATGGCCGATCTTCGGGGTGTGGGACGCTGGCTTGCTCGCCCTTCCGCCGCCCTTTGCCCCCATCCTCCCTGCATCCGCTTTTCTCTTTCGTTTCAGGACCATCTTGGGCTTAGTGCCCAGCTGGCGGCTGGCCCGGCGCAGAGGAGCGCGTGGTGTAGGTCGAGGGTGGGGGGAGTGGGCAGGGTCCGGGGCCTTGTGGCGTTGCTCCCCGTTCATCCCGTCTCGCCTCCGCAGGTTGTTACCTCGGCCCAGCCCCACTCTCAACTTTTGGTCGGGATGGCGGTTGGTCCGAGCACGGACAGCCCTGCGGGAGGGTCAGGGGCGGGATGTCGGGTGGTGGCGGCGGCCCTCGGCCTGCGTACCCCCGCTCCTTCCCGTCTCAGCTTTGTCAAGACCTCCTTTCCATCCCGGCCTCGACCTCGGTTTCGTGCGGAGCTTGTGGCTTGTTTGGGGATCAAGGGTCGTGGTACAGGCTAAAGGCGGGGTGTGTTGCGGGGTCCTCGGCCCCTCCCCGTTTCGTCCTGCCTTCCTTCCCAACGGGGTTCTCCTTTCCGGACAGATCGGCGTTCTCGACACAGTCGAGGTGGTCTGAATCGCGGGGTGGAGGGCCGTTGGGGGAGGGTTTTGGTCGTGAACGGGGTGGTGTCGGGTTGGGGGCGGGGGGAGTTACAGCGCTTGCACCCTCGTTGCCCCGCTGCTCCCCGGTGCCCTTCCTGGGCCCCCAATCGGGGGGTCGGGCGGGCCCGTGGCAGCGGCTGGTGGCGACGGCTTTGCAACTTCTTATTGATGTACCTGCTCTGATTTGTCGCTGTCAGGGTTGACGGCCCCCTTTTGTTCTGGTGGAGGGGTCGGTCCTGTCGGAACGGCACCATATTGTAGAACTCTCGGCAAATGAATATCTTGGCACTCGCAACGATGAAGAGAGCAGCGAAATGCGATACTGAATGTGAATTGCAGAAATCCGTGAGCCATCGATACCTTGAACGCACATGGCGCCCAAGGCTTCTGCTGAGGGCGCGCGCGCCTGAGCATCATTGGATTCCTCACGACCTCAGCACCTTCCGTTTCRGAGAGTGGTGGGGTCCGTGGTCGTGGCTTCCCTCGCTTCCCACTTGGAGAGCGTCGATAGCCTAAAGTGGAAGGGAATTGGAGAGCATTCCGAGCGGGCCTGTGGGGGCCGCAGATCAGAGTGGTGCATTTTGCTCCGCCCTGTTGTTGCCCTCCAGCACCCGTTTGTGGGTGGTGGTCTTCGTTTCCCTGAAAACGGCACGTAAGGTCGTCCCTCCGGTTTGTGTGGTCGCCGCCTTCCGTTCGCTCCCATCAGCTTGAGGTGGGCTTGCGGTTGGGGTTGTTGGCCTCGAGCTGTGGAGGTACGTMGGGCCTTGCCTTTTGATCTCAGGTCGGGCGGGAGCACCCGCCCAATTTAAGCATATAACTAAGCGGAGGAAGAGAAACCAAYGAGGATTCCCTTGGTAGCGGCGAGCGAACCGGGAATAGCCCAGACTAAAAATACGGGGGCCGTGCAGCTCCCTGAATTGTAGTCTTGAGAGGCAACCTCTGCAGCGGGCCRTGTGCAGGTTCCCTGGAAGGGGACGCCGAAGAGGGTGACAGCCCCGTCCGCCGGACCCTGCTGCGCAACGAGGTGTTGTCCAAGAGTCGGGTTGCTTGGGAATGCAGCCCCAATTGGGTGGTAAGTCCCATCCAAGGCTAAATATGTGCGAGGGACCGATAGCGAAGAAGTACCGCGAGGGAAGGAAGAAAAGAACTTTGAAAAGAGAGTTAAAGAGTGCTTGAAATTGCCGAGCGAGA